CCCATTCTCCCCACTGGTGGTGGAGTTCCCTTCCTTTCCTCTGCTCTAGAACTAGTCTTGTCAGTCATTTGCTGCTTCCATGCCCACCACCAGTGGTCACTTATCTCTTCTCATTTTCTTCACCTCTCAGCTGCAGTCAGTACAGTGCACCACCTTGCTTTTCCTCTCCTGACTCCCATTATTTGTATGGTTCTGGTCTTCCTGCTGACTCCCAGGCTGTCTGCTCAACGTCTCCTCAGCAGGCTGCTTCTCTTCTGCCATATTTCTGGTTGACAGATGGTCCCTGGTTCAGCCTCACAGTTTCATCTCTTCACTATCTACACTTTCTTAGGTGGCCTCTTCCTTTTTCATTTTTCAAATCCTCTCCAGAGATTGATAATCCCCTTGGGGATATCACTACCACTGCCGTCTCCTTTGAGCTTGAATATCTATCAGGCTCCTCCAAATTATCATGTTCAGGAAGAACTCCTGTTTTCCCTCAGAAACCTGACTCTTCTAATATTCCCCATTTTTGAAAAAGCAAAATGTGAACTTACGTGAATTTACTAAGCTAAAAGCCTAGGAGTCATTTTGATTACTCATTCTCTCACCTCACAATTCCCATCATTAAATCTCAGAGTAAGTCTGGTAGGCTTTTCCCCCAGAATGTACTTACAGTTTTCCACTTCTCTCTATATTACTATGGCTATCTCTCATACTGTTGCAAAAGCCTACTAATTCACCTCACATTACCCCACAATAATTCACTCACTTCACAATAGCCAAACAGATCTTTTAAAAATGTAAATCAGAAGATGATTCCCTGCTTTAAGTAGGATAATGTCTTCCCCTTGTTTTCAAATAAGATCCAAGCTTCTTACTGCAACCTACCGGGCTGTGCAGGTTGAGACTGTTGCCTGCCTCCTGTTGTACTGACCACAGACTCTCCCACCATCCCTTGCCCAGTACCACCAGCTACCCTGTCTTCTTACTGTTCTGCAAACCTGCCACACTTATTCCGGCCCCTAGATCTTTACACTAGCTCCTTCCTCTACTTGTGCTGTTATTTCTCCAATTTGTACATGTTTGGCTCACTCTTATCTCTAAAATCTCAGCTCAAATGTCACCTCCTTGGAGAGGCAGTTCCTGAAATAGGTAACTAATTTTTCACTCCTCACTCCTCGAGTTACTTGAAATCCTATCATTCTACTTTATTTCCACCATGGTTTTCAGTAGATATGCAGCATAAATTTTAAAGTATTTTATAAAAATAAAAAAGAACATGAAATCTTAGTGTTTTCCTAGTTTATGGGTGGCGGAGACAGGCTAGATGCCCAATTCAGTTTCCTCCTCCCTGGGCCCTTTGGAAGATTTTGTCTCCCAGGTTTCTGAAGTGAGTTAAACCACATGACTAATTCTGACCAAAGTGAGTGTATACCATGTCCAGGCTGAACCCCTAAGACTTCTGCCTACATTCTCTCTGCTCTTTCCATCTTCATCCTCATAGCTGGAATTAGAGGACTTGGAAAGTGATGAGCCACATGCTTAGAAGGAGCTTGGATCCCTGGGTCATATGTTGCTTGGAGAGTTCCCCAACCTTCATTAAGTTTTGCCTGAGGTACTACTTTAGTTTCCCTGACTAATAATGCACTATATTTTTGTGAAAATAGATTAGTTAGGCCATATAAGATGAACAAAATTCTTTTTTAAAAAGACTGAAGTTACTTTCACATTGGCTCCTTTATTCTACAAAAATTTATTAAGCATTTATCAGGCACTATTCTGGACAATTAACTAAATACAAAGAAATCTGTTCCCAGGGAGCTTATATTTGTTGCAGGGAAGAAGTAATAAACGAATAATGAACCCATATATGCTACAGTATGCTTGATGCCCATAAGAGCTGTAGGGAAACCTAAAGCAGACAGAAAGAATTAGAGTACAGAGTGGCTTGAGGTTTAAACACAAGTGTCCAGGACGGTTCTGAAGGTGACATGTAATGAAAACCTGAAGGGTGAGGAGGTGAGACAAGCAAGGAATAAGGAAGAAAATTAGAGTTGGGGGAACAGCAAATGCAAAATCCCTTGAGGTGGGAGCACATCAGAATGTTCCAACAAAGAGGCCCGCATAAACAGAGTCAGTGAGCTTGCAGAAGAGGAGGAGGTACTTGCGGGCCAAAGGGAGTGTGACTTAGGGCCTTACAGATCGTAGTAAAGAGGACTGTGAATTTCATTCTGAGAAGGCTGGAAAGCTATTGGAACATTTTGAGAAGAATTATGCAGTTTGGGTTTATGTAACAATAACATATTCTGACTACTGTGAGGAAATTAGTCTGGCATGAGGGTTAAGGGTAGAAGCTGGCAGACTAGTTAGGAACTATTTCAGTCATTCAAGAGAGTTAGGCAGATTTTCTGGCCTAGGATGTTAGTGTTATGGAGCCTAAGTGGTAAGATTCTTCTTTTTCAATTTGAACTATAGTCAGTTACAATGTGCCAGTTTCTGGTATATAACATAATTTTTATTTTTTGATGACAGAGTAAACAAGATTTTTGGAGAGGCTAGTTGGGGTGAGAGAGGATTTAAGGAAAACTCCAAAGTTTTTGGTCAGAGCAAATGGAGGTTGGGCGTGTTAAAGTTCGCAATGCCTATTCAACTTTTAGGTGTACTTAGATGTGAGTGTGATCCCTTAGGCTGTGCTATGAACACAATTCACAACTATGTGTGCTGTGTGGCAAGTGATTAGGTTCATGTCAGTACGATTCCATGACCTTCCATAGAAGCAGCACCAGAAATAAAGAAAAAGTGACCAAGTAGCTTCTGATGCTAAAAAATGGGCATTATAGAAATGTATTTTTTTGACATGAGTCAATATAAAGTTTAATTTGTCTTCTTGTTTTAGCTATAAATTATATATGTTTATAAGAAACTACTACTATATTTTAAAGTGTGAGTTTCCAAGTTAAATAATGAATCATTTTTATAAGTATAAATTTGGTATTTTAAATGTATATTTACAATAAGCTTAAGTTATACTGTAATTTTTATGTTTTTCTCCCCAAACAAATGAGCAAAGTGTATATTCAAACTTTGAATTATCAAAGGAGAAGAACTTATGGTTTCTTGAAGCTTCAAGAAAATTCTCCTTAGAAGAGTAATAATTATATGTAGATAAAAATATTTGTAATCATTACTTATAAGTAGTGTACTGAATAATTTAAAATATTTTCTATAATGTAAAGATATATTCTGCTGGTTTTTTAGTTTACTATCAAAGTTTTAAGGTATTCAGTTAGCTTCCATTAAATGGTGATGAAATTTATGCCAGAATCTTTTAAGATGGAAGAGGTACGTGAATTTACAATAAATATAAACATACACTTTTATGACCCATTTATCTTTTTGGGGTGTGTTCCATGAATAAATACATCATCTAACTAGGAGATTAGATTTTCAATTTATTTCAGATTGTGTTCAGTGTCCTTGCATGTATCTGTCTTCTGCTTCAAAACAAGTTTATTTAGGCACTTTAGATTTGTTTAGCAGCTGTCATCTTCCAGAACGTGTTTTGATTTGTTTTGGGGTTGACTTACAGCTAAAATTACAGAAAGGCCTTTTCATTGGTCACAGATGATGCACAAAGCATGCTCAACTCCAGGGTTTTGTAGATTCAGAGGGAGATCAACAGTTGCCCTTCTGGGGCTATAACAGTTTTTCACCTTTTAATTATCTAGAGCCATAATAATAACCACAGTGACCTACAAGAAGGCATTGTTGGACATACTATAATTACATATAGCGATTATGTGCAACACCAACAATGCATAAAAATCCCACTTAATAACTAAGGTTGGTAAAAATGAAACTATGCTAGTCTCCCTTAGGACATAGTTTCACTTTTTGGAAAAACAGAAGTCATTAAGTTTTTGCCTAAAACTTTTTCTGGTGTGTATTATTATAATAAAGCAAGTCAGAGTTCCATGGAATGACAATGCAATAATAATTTTCCGGTAAATGTGGAAACTATCTCTCACTCTACTTTCTTGCTTAGCTGCTTACTAGTATTTCCCATTACCTACTGTATAATAGAAAGGGAGATGGAAGTTAAAAGCAAAGGTTAATCTTTGTAATACAGTCAGGGAAGATGGTTTAGGACGAGCATCAACAAACATTTTTCTTTTTAACAATTTAGTGTTTCAAACTATATCACATTCACACATATACTAATAATTCTGTTTAAATAATTAGAGATGGCAAGATTTGATGAATTACAAGTAATCAGTGGCTACATCAGTTTCTGTCATTACTTGGTGGAGCACCTCACCTAACCTTGCCAAGACCTTGTCTTCAATCCATGATCAAGTCAATGTATGTGGAATGGGATCTAATAATTTGCTTCTTTCGCTGTTCACAATTATATGGTGAATGAGTTATAAACATTAGTGCTTGTTCCAGTAGGTTTAAACCAATTTTGGCAATTTTTTATGTGGCCATGACTAGGATGTTGATGCCATGCTCATTTTATATTATTATTTTTTTCATATCAAGAGTTTTATAATCTAAGAGTAAGTAATAAAGCTTTTTGTTAGAGTTATGCATCCAACATATGTAACAATATTTGTGTTCTGAAGTCGACTTGAATTTAAAACTACTGACATTTTCCCAGGCCAGTCGCTGTTAATGCAGAGTACCTTGTGAAACAGGACGTTTCAACTTGCATGTCTTGTAAGCACCTCAGACTTAGCAGTTTTACAAGCCAGTTCCCTCTTTCTACCATCCTCTTCCCCTCCACCCTCACTTTCTTCTTTCTCCCATTTTGGTTTGTGTCATTATCATCTACGTAGTCACCTAAGATGATCTGTGAATCTTAAGTCATCCTAACCACCTACTGTCACATTCAGTCAGTCACTTAAGGCTGTGTAGTCTCTCTCCAAAATGTGTTGTGCAGCTATTCATTTCTGGCAGCCCATCACCTGTCACTTAGGCTCCCCCAACAGCTTCCTACTGGTCTCTCTGCCTCCAGTTGTTCTTCCGACTTAAATTTATCCTCTTTACTGCCATTATAATTATCTTTCTAAAATGATCTGTATCTTGTGTCTGCTTTAATATCTATACTGAAGCCCTCCAGACACATGTGGTTCTTTCCAATCTAGCTCCAACCTATTTTCCTAGCCCTTCTTGTACTCCTTGCATCTGTACAACTATGCTGCAGACTCAGTGAAGTCTTTTCACGTATTCATGTCTTGGATCATGTTCCTTTGACTGGAATGCATTTCACTCTTTTTTCTATTTGCAAATATCAAGCAACCTAAAGAAACTCCCAGCTATAAATCAGAGCTTTCTGTTCTCTAGATACTAGATGTGTAATATAATAAAGGGGCACAAAGAAAGGTTCTTTTGAATCCCAAACATTTGTTTATGTGTTTATGTCTCCCAACTCTCAACAAGGACTTTTGAGGGGACAGACTATATCTCATTTTGAATAGCCTCTGACATATCAGTGGTGTTTGGTGTGTGTTCAAGGAATGAGTGCATGGATTGAATGAAAATATTGTGTGCAGTCATAGTTCTAGAGCCAACTTTAAAAAATATCTTATCCACTTAAAATTTAGGTGTCACGTGATGTCACCCTGTCCTTTAAATTTAATTTGGCTTGAATGTGCAGTGATTTTGGTGAATGTGATATAATTTTTCTACTCACATTCATAGCCATAAGTTGCATACTCTGTGTGAATAGATTAGCATAAATGGTACTTTCACAGAAACTGGAGCTACTTCCGTCATGCTCTCAAGTTCACTCACATTCGGCAGGAAATGTAAAAGAGGCCCCTTTAGCACAGACTGCCTTCTTTGCCTGACTTTCTGCTTTTCTTGGTCTTCCTTGTCTGTGTCCTCAACAGTCAGTCCCCCATTCTCATCTATACTCTCTCCTCCCAGTTCCCACATCTGACTTTTTAAAGTATTCCTAAGACTCTTCCAGGATTCCTGACTCTTCTGCTTTCCCCTCACCAGGTTGGCCTCCTTAATTTGTTTCTGATACCTGCCAGCTAACTAACTTTTAACTCTGACCTTGGTGACCGGAACCTGGGCTTTCTCTCAGTCATCTCCCAAATCTATTGCTTCCTTGTCCAACTGTATATTCTTGGCAACTATATTCCAGATTGTTTGCCATTTTAGAAGTGAGGATATATCTGACAGACCTAAATAATGCTTTTATGGAGGAATTCAACAACAAATATAAATTTAGTATCTACTGCCAATTCTAGAATGTCTCCATGAACTTAAAACTCTTTAATTGATAAAGAATACGTGAGAAGGAAAATTAGGCATTCCAGGTACCTTTGACATATGAATGTTGTGGATATGAGGCTAGGGGGAGTAAGATATAGTAAAAATTTCCTCTCTTTTCCAATTAGATCACACCTGAGAACAAGGGGCATTGATTTGGTCAAGGAAATGACATGATTATATCACATTGCTAATACCTGGAGCTATACGTGAGAGGAGATCAAGTGGTTTTGAATTGGGACAAACAGACTTTTTCCCATTCAATTTCTTTATTCATTCAATAATTGTATATTAAATGCCTACCATGTGTCAAACTGTTGTGAACATTGGGGATAAAATGGTGGGAGAGTGAGAGAGAGTTAGACTGATTTCTGGGTTTCTATTTATTATTTCAATATTAAGACATAGAGACCCAATTATTGACTGTGGGCCTAGAAGAAATGGATGGGGAAGGATTGATGTCATTTTAGGCATTAGGGTGGAATTTTAGGAGCAAAAGGGGTCCATCTGTTAAATCTGAGAGTAGAGATTAAATAGTTTGCATTTGTCCAGCGTGTTCTTTCTGAATATTTTCTTCAGAAGAAGGTCATGGGTACCTGAGGAAGGATGTAGGCCTCCTAATTTCCAAACAGCTCCAGCTTCGAATCACATCAGAACAATGTCTGCAAAGATGGAGGAATGTTTAAACTGTATGTGTCAAGGGTAATGAGAAATACGGTTTATGATATCAAATGCAGATTTTTTTCTGAACAAATACATGAGTGATTCTGGGGAAGGGAGACAGACCCTTCCCAGAAGAAAAAGGTAACCGTAAATTTCTGATCTCAATATGAAACTCTAGATTAAACCTTTTAAAGTTGTTGTATCTGAGAGAGTCCTTGAAGCTGCCACTGACACCATGTAGATTTTATAACTTTCACAATATTATGTTAAACCGGGCTAGTATCAAACATTTCTCCAGGTAATAATCACTTACCTTGATTTACTAAAAATATTGAACATTTCTTAAACTGAAAATGTTAACTGCTTGAGAACTTGTAATCTTGGAATAGAAAGAATTTACCTGCATTTGCTTTACATTTTTGCTTAAGGAAACCCAAACAACCAATATATCACTCGAAAAATATTTGGAAAATAGTTACATCTATTTCTAAAATTTCCATTTTTTCTTACAATATTTTCTAATGTAAAATATTCTCAGAAACTGCCATTATAATGTCAGCAGTTCTCTTTAGAGGAAGCCAAATGTTGCATGTCTTAAGACTTGCTCTATGTATTTAAATAGAAGGAAAGATTGAGAAATGAATCCATCACAATTTCTTGGTGGTCATTTTGAGAACTTCTTTTGAGGAGGGGGAGCATACTTCAGTACATGTAAACCTAGTTGTCTAGTACATAATATAGAATATATATATTTTTCCTTTTGTGTTTGATAGAGGATATATATCTATTTGTAATCCCTTTGTAGATTTTGAAAATAGATATTGGACTAATTATACTGAATCTTTGTTATTCTAGGAAACTAATGTCATTGATTTTAATCTTTGCTGCTAGTTATCTTGGGATTTATCTATTTTTCTTTTTAAAATAAAACCAAGTACAGAGAAATTCTGAAAATTGTTGTCACAGATTTAGGTACTAGTTTAGTCCAAATGAATGAAGTCTTAGGCTATTAACCAAAGTCATTTAAGAATTACATGAATTTATTTTTGTTTAGCTGGGCATTTCCAAGATGATTTTTTTATGTTAACGCATGGCTTTTACCCTGGAGTTGTACACAGTATGCATCTTTTTCCCATTTCAAAAGTTTTACCTTTACACAAGAAGCTGCACTTAATAATTTATTTTTTAATGTTTGACCCTACGACAGTGTCAATTAGCTGAAAGTTTAAATTTTGAAATAATAGGCTAATAAATAAAGTAGTAGTTTATGAACTAGCTTACTAGTTTCTCTTTACTGTAGCAGTCAACTAACATTTGATCTTAAATCTTGGGTGATGCTGATGTGAGAGTAATCACAGAGAATATTTATTGAGTTGAGCCAAGCACATTGCTTAAGATTTCTCACATACTGTCTCTTTTAATCTTCATTAGAAATTCTTTAATATGGTGTTGATATTTACCCATTTTACAGAGAAGGAATCTGAGATTTCAGGATATATCTTACTCTTTATTGATTCTTGTGTGTTTGCTTCATCTGTATTGCCAATTAGTTTGAAATTTTTTAAATTAAAAGGTGTAAACTTTGGGAAACAATATAGGTGAAGATGACAAATGCCAGTGCTAGATGGCCTGTGTTCAAATTGTGGTTCTACTACATACTAACCCTGTAACCTTGGGCAAGGTACTTAACCTATTTGTTTTATTTTTGCACTAGCCCTATAACCTTGGGCAAGTTATTTAATCTCTGTTTACCTCTATCCCTCCCAAATCAGAATTATTATTATACCTACCTCATTATTATTATTATATACCTCAAAAGCTGTTATGGTGTCTAAATGAATTAATATTTGAAAATAACCTAGCATGTTGTTAATTCTAAATATGTTTATTTAATAATAAGTAACTTAAAGGTCTGAAAAGAATGGCAAATTATATTACTTCTATTAGGAAAATTTTACAGATAAAAAAATTTACAATTTTTGGTAAGGAGTATTTCATATTTCAAGATGGAAGAATTTTATATTTAGAAGTTTTCAGGGTTTACTGAGGAATATAGTCATATGAGGTTTAAAACTTAGAAAGAATTTTTTTGATTATTTTACCTTATTAGATTAAGGAATTAAGAAATGTCATGATTTTATATAGACCTAGAGAAATAAGAGAGAAATGTACCGTAGTATTGTTAGCATTGTTAAAAATTATTTAAAGGAGTTAAAATATATATTTAATACAGTAAACTAAAATAAAATAATTAAAATAATTATCTGGAAAAAAACAACATGCTATGAAATATATTTGACTCTGGGTATATGTAACTGAAAATAACCCTTACTTGGCTATTTGTTAGAGATCAGGGATTAGAAATGTATGTTCTGTAGTTATTATAGCTGGACCTCACCACTTGCTTATTGTTATATATTCATTTGCTCAGGCTGTTGTAACAAAATATCATAGCCTGGAAGGCCTAAACAACAGAAATTTATTTCTCATAGTTGTAGGTACTAGAAATCCAAGATAAAGATTCTGGCAGAGTTCAGTGTGTAGTGGGACTCTCTTCTTAGTTAGTTATTTTTTCCCCTAATTCTTACCCATCACTCAAGGTTCAATTTGTGTCACCACCTCAGAAAGAGCTTCTCTGATACCCAGAGAATAATCTACATTATTCCCTTTATAGCACTGTACTTCTTTTCTTTATAGTTTAAGCCTCAAAGCTCAACTTATTTTTAATAAGTTTTCTCTTTCACGCAAAGCTGTCCTATTTGGTATTCAGATGTTTACACACTGACTTATATTCAGGCTGACTGGAGAGAACATTTTCATATGATGTTATTGACTTCTTATGTCAACTAAACCAGGATAGACAGCCAGGTAGGGGTCTGGATTTTTTGAGCAGGAATGACTTTCAAATGCCACCACTTTTAAAGTATAAGTGAAAAAAGCTAACATAATTTGAAGGCCAGTTTGAGAGAAAATACCATTGTTTCCAGATTCAGAAAATAAATGTAGTTAAATAAATCACTTGGTGTCTTTTTGAACTATAATCTTGCATTTTTGGTTGTAGGGTTTTGAAGTAAACTGGCTCTAAAATATTTGATCTAAGAAAATAAATATTAGGTTCTTCTACTGGATAATTATTATTTTATTTTTTATTTTTATTTAACCCTGAAGCACATGAAGCACATTGGAATGGATTGTTACTGCTTAGAAAGGGCCTTTGTATTATGATTAGTTTTCCTCTGAGATTTTTTATCCTTGATATAGTAATATTTTCCTAGAACTATATTTTAAATTAAAATGTTTCTACCATCAAGCTTAAATTATTCTGTTGATACTTCTTACCTTTCAGAAGTACAGTACTGTATTTCCTCTAGGGTCTCATGATCATTCTAGTCTCATCTTTGATAGATATAAAGTAATAGATTAGGGCTATATAAAATAGAGGAACTAATCTATAAATAAGGAAATATAAATGTATTATGTGTTTTTCCAAATGTTTATTTTGTATTAAAATATTTGTACTCATATGATTCCAAATTTAGTTTTCCTTGTGAAGTCCAGTAAAACATTACAGATGTGCAATTATTCATTTCCCTTTAGGAGAAAATGAGATAAAATACTATTATGTTCTTGTTTCAGAGAAGTACAGATTATGTTTTAGCTTGATTAGCGAAAATGGCTATTAATATAGAAAAGTCACAGCTAAAATCTGTTATTGCAATGATGAAACAAATTTTCAATGGCATTGAAAAGTCAATGATATGTAGAAATGCATATAAACGGGGAAGAAGGTAATTTACACAACAAATAAACTAGACTTTCAGATAAGGTGGTATACATTTATTGATTCTACTCCAGATATGTAGTATGATAAATGTGGCTTAATCATTCTCTACGTTGTATGCATCACTTTGAGGAAAGGGACCTACGAGCTCTGCAAATGTCTCTTTCATATCTCTGCCTCCAACATTGCATTCTTAGATACGTTCTTAGGCAATTTGAGTTTCAGGGCCTTGTACAATAAGTTTATTTCTCTTTCAACCTGGTTAATGGAGATTTTCCTATTTGGATAGCTTTCCTGAGCATCTCTTTTCCAAGTGTTGATTCAGGAAATCTCAAAG